AATGCATTCTGCTGTCATATGCACCTCATTAAAATAAATTAATTAGTCAGTTTAAAAAATTGCCCGTGGCAAGCTTGGCAGTGGAAAAAAGGGTCTCCAAAGATGTCCACGTCCTACTTCTAGAACCTGGTAATGTGTTAGCCGACGTGGCAAAAGGGACTTTGAAGAGGTGACCAAATCAAGAATCTTTTTTTTTTTTTTTTTTTGGTACCAGGGTTGAAACCAGGGCCCCTTACCACCGAGCCACATCCCCTGATCTTTCTAGTTTTTGTTTTGAGACAGGGTCTCACTAAGGTGCTTAGGGCCTCTCTAAGTTGCTGAGGCTGGCCTCAAAGTTTTCACCAGCTTCCAATAGCACCGCCCTGCGGATTTCAGGACTTCAGTCACCATGGACGTCTGAAGGACATTCAGACCATCCCCGTCATCCCCCTGCCTCAGGCTCCCAGACTGCTGAGATGACAGGGGCACCACTGCACCCAACCCCATCAAGGATCTTGAGACGGGGAGATGATTCTAGATGCACCAGGGAGGCCTCCTGGGGTTTTAGGTTTCTGACAGTGAGATGGGAAGCAGGAGGGTGGTCAGAGAAGGAGGTGTGACTAAGGTCACTCTGGCTGGATGATGTCACCCCTGGCTTTGGAGATGGAAAGAAGCTGCGGAGAAGCTGGAAAGGCAAGGGACAGCTTCTCCCCTTGAAAACTCAGAAGGAACACAGCCCTGCAGTCACCTTGAGTTTTGCCCCTTGAGACCCATTTCAGACTTCTGACTTCCAGAACTGCTAGGTAATAAATGTGTGCTGTGTTTCTTGGCATTTTTTTTACAGCAGCAAGAGGAAGTTAAAACGGTGTGTATTTTATAATCATAAAAGAAAAAGCTGTTTGCTAGAAAGAAAAAAAAAGAGCTGTAGGTAATTGTATTAGTTAGTGACGTGTTACTATAACAAAACACCCGAGGCAGCTAACTTAGTAAGAAAGGAGGATTATTTAGTTCAGTTTTGGCGCTGCAAGGGCACAGTGTCTGAATCCGCTCAGTTGTGGTGGGGACCTCATGGTGATTGGTGGATGGCAATGTCAAGATAACGGGTCACCTCTCTAACAGGAAGCAGAGAGGCTGCACGCAGGGAGCTCCACCTTGTATAACTAGCCTCCCGTGAGAACTTCCAAGGAGTCTTATGAGAAGGGCCTTACTTGGGCATGCTCCCCGGGACCTGAGGACCTCTGACCAGGGTGCCACCTCCAAGGTTTTCACCAGCTTCTAGTAGCACTGTCCTGCAGAGAGAGATCAGGACTTCAGCCACCATGGACGTCTGAAGGACACACCAGCCCGTTAGCCTCATCCCTCCCTGGAGCTCTGCCGGCTGCCAGTGCAGACAGGAGCAGCCCGGATCCAAGGAAGAGCCTGGCCCAGGATCTTGGAAACCCAGGAGTGGAATTTATAAAACATCTACTAAGTCAGCCGGAGAGTTTAAAGACCCTGAACTGAGAACTCTCGTTGTGTTTGAGACTTCTACACCTTTCTTATTTGATTTTATTGTTTTAAAAAACTGCCAGTCACATAAAAACAGTTGTAAAAAATTAAATTAGTTACATCTGGACAGCCATGTTTTAAGACAAGCCCTGGAGGGGACGTAAAGTTGACTTGATGTCTGGGTCAGGGCGCCTTCCTTCCCGCAGGGCCGGCTCCTTATGGCCGATTCCAGGACGGGCTGGCCCCGCGGCCAACCGGCTGGGCCTCGTCATGGAGCAGATGACTCAGGGGACCCTGAGCCTCGGGCCTGTGCTCACCGTCCCCCTTAAAGACAGAGAACCCGGGACTCCCTCAGGGTGGGCCCCTTCTTGTCACTCAGTGTCACCGCCTCACAGAGGTGTCTCCTCTTGGTGTAAACTGGCCTCCACTCCTCCCTGAAGAGGCTCCCGAGGTTCCCCCTGTCGGTGGTTGTCTCCTTTATGTATTCCTATTATTCATTTGCTCTTGTCTCTCCAGTCCCCAGCTCCCCAGGCCAGGTCCCTGGGTCTGCTGCAGGTGCAGTTGTGGGACGAGGAGGCTGAGACGGGACTGTCACCCTGGCCAGCGGTGCCTGGTGAACCTCAGGGTGGTTCTTCTGGGTGCCCCCTGTTCCCAGATGCAGCTCTGGGGCAGCAGGGCTGGGGCCTGAGGCTGAGGCCCAGGTTTGACTTCCCTTGTCCTGCTGTGGCCTGGGGGTGCCGTGTGGGAGAGCAGTCCTGGCTTGGCCTGGGGACGATAGCGAAGGCGTGGGTGGTCCAGTGGTGTGACAGGTACCCTGGCTGAGTACGCACGTGCCCAGCCGCACCTCACGTACAGTTGGAAGCTTTGCAAGACCTTGTTCTCCCCACTTGGCAGATGAGCCAACTGAGGCTCAGAGAGAACCAGTGGCCACCTGAGTTTCCTCAGACGCAGGAGGCCAGGCCCAGGTTCAGCTGCAGCCCAGCTGGCCCCACGGCCCGAGCCCCTGGCCCCCAGGAGCCGTTGGCATGGGCCACACACTGGGCCTCTCAGGGTGGGCCTCTTGCCCTGCTCAGGCCTCAGCTGGACCCCGAGCCCAAGGAAGTCCTCTGTGGCTGTGGAGGACAAGGTGAGAGGAGGCTGTGGTCAGGGGCCCCTGGGCCGGCCTCAGTTGAGCTGGCGTGGTGGGCAGGGAGGGGGGAGCCTCGGCCCAGCACACCCAGCCCCCCACAGCCCCCACCTTCTCCCCCACACCAAGGAGGGCGTGGACTCCCGTCCACGTCTCCAAACCACTGTGGGAGGAGGAGGGGACAGCAGCCTGGGCCAGGCAGGAGGGAAGAGGAGATCCCTGATGGCACAGCCCTGGCCAGTACGACGCTGGGTCTGGACTGGGCTCTGTTAAAATGTCCAGCGGCCCTGAGAGGCCCTTGTCCCTTGGAGGTGATGTGACCAGGTAGAACTGGATTCCAGCCAGATCTGTGCGACCCACAGCCCAGTGGTCACCAGAAACATTACTGTCCTCAGGGGGTCAGGGGCCAGATGGCAGAAGATGGGGGAGGGGGTTCGTGAGGCCGCGGCAGCCAGCTGTCCAGCTGGGACTCCTGGCCACCTCCCTGCAGCCAGCTCACTCAGGAGCTGAGTGACAGGCCTGGCCCTGAGCCCCCTGTGGTGGTCCTGGGGGTATTGTCCCCTGCCTGGCACTCCACAACCCTGCTGGCCACCTGCTGGCTCATGTCCCAGCCTAGAAGCAGGTGACCATCCCCATCTAACCATGAGGCCCAAGAAGGACAGTGACTCAGGACAGCCCCCAGGGAGGCCCAGAGCTGGAGCGGGTCCCCCAGGTCATGTCCTTGAGGAAGGGACCCCAGTCTGATCCCCAAAGACCTTGTGGGGGAGCCCATTGCTGTGTGAGGTGTTTTCAGGGTGTCCTTTTCCTGGTCCCGTCTAGTGAGACCCAGGTGGGGGCAGCAGGATGAGTGGCCAGGGTAGGAGGAAGGTTGGTGGCCGAAGAGGCAGCTCAGAAGAGTGACCTCCGGGGCCGGGCCTAGCTGCTGTGCAAGTGGGTGTGTGTGGAGGGTCCTGGGGCCACTGCAGCCTGTCCACCACCTGTCCCTCCTCTGACAGGACCTAGGCCAGGTCTGAGGGTTTGCCTGGAGAGTGTGGGTGCTTTTGAGGTAGGAAGAGGGACAGGGAGAGGAGCCAGAGAGAGGCCGGGAGGGGGCGAGGGAGGGGTGCAGGGAGTGGCACCAGCAGCCGCAGGGCGGTCACTCAGGTGCGGTGCCCAGGGAGCCGTTTACAGCCTACAGCATGATTGGTGCTTGGCAAGGACAGGGTGTCCTGTGGGCAGATGCACGGGACCACCTAGGCTGATGTGTGACCCTCTTGAGGAACATGGGCTGTTCCCTGAGACGCTGGGCCGAGGTGCTGGTGGGCGTGAGGGTGGCGAACGGAGCTTTGAGATGTGGTGTGGGTAGAACGGAGGACCTCCCGAGAAGCGGAGCTCAGGGTGGATTAAGGCAGGACACAGGGGTTTGGGAGAGTCGCGGACGGGGAGTTCGGGGACAGTATTTGCCGGCATTTCTCAGACACCTTGTACAGGTGAGCGAAAGAGCGAGCCCAGGTGCCCGGAAAGATCTTGGGCTCCAGGGCCGCAGTGGTGACCCTGGGCCCAGGGTCCATCTCATCTTCTCTTTTTCTGAGTTGGCACTATTCTCAGGCAGCACCCTGCCCCCCATGCCAAATGGCCCCCCGCAGCCCCCTGATGGTATCTCTTAGAACACCACATCTAGCAGAGAGAGGCCTTTCCCCCGTAACAGTCCCATGACTAAAGTCCGGGGGGTCGTTTACTGACCTTGCCCAAACCTGCCACTGTCACTGGAACTGGAGGCCATCCAAGCCAGGCCCTGTGCATCCCTGAGCCCTGCGGGTGGTTCTTCTGCGGGAGTCGGGCATGTTGGAGGGAAGGGGTGCCAGGCAGGCTGATGGGCACAGATGCCAAGGCAAAGGCCTGGCCTGCAGGAGGCAGGAAGGCTGCTCAGGCCCAGCCTGACCTCTGAGGTTGAGGTCCAGGGGGGAAGAGTGAGAGCTTTCCTTGTTGCGCCCAGATGCTGCCTGGCCAAGCCTGGGTCATGGGCTCCAGTCTCAACCCGCTTCCAGGCAACATGGGGCGAGTTGGGAAGGGTGAATTCCAAACCCAAAGCAGCTGTTCCAAGAGGAGGTCTGCATTCTGAGGACAGGCAGACGTGTACTGAGAGGATCCTCCGACTATAAGTGAGGAGAGAGGCTTGGCTGGCCTCTGGCAGGGAGCCACAGAACCAGGCCCAGGCCGGACTCGGGGTGTGTCTCAGAGGCTGCTGTCTCAGGACCACCCCCAGGTAGCAGCCTCCCCTGCTGCCTGAGCCGCCTGATGCCCGGGGGAGGGGGACATGCCCAAAGCAGGCCTCAGGCACAGACGACTCTCCACCCCAGGAACTAGGTCACAACCCAACCTCCAGTCTAACAGCTTTTATGAAAGACATGAGCCCTGGGTCCATTTAAAAATCATTTTTTTATTAACATCATCTTCCCATTTAGCCAAGTGTCTGCCATGTATAAGGAATGTCGGTAAATATTCCATTTGAAGCTTCTTTGTACATATTTCCATCGATAAATAAACTCTGAATTCACATAAAAAAGTTAAACTTAAATAACTCATATTTCCTTCTCTTGTAACAGGCATATATTGGTAAAATATAAATATTCTTGGACTCAGGCTTTGTTCTAAGTGAGGAGAACAGTAATTCTTCACAGGGTACAATTATTGACAATAAACCGAGAAACCGCCAGCTGGTGTCCTGGCGTGGACGGGTGCTGAGGTGGGAACAGAGGATTCACATTTGGTTTCTGGGCTGTGGTGGCCGAGCAGAGGACAGACAGTTGTTTTCTTTACAGCTCTGATAAAAATAATCTGTTCTGCCACTGAGTTTCACCTTTGAATCTACTCTTGGACATTGGCTGATTAACTCCATAATCATTTCACTTAAAACTCAGATGTCAGCTAACCAGATATGGCACATAATCCCTGGGAACCCCGCCAGAAGGTTCAGAGACTGTCACCAAGCTGGCCCAACAGCAGAGGAACGCGCGAGGAGCGAGCGGCGATGGGGTGGTTGGTGAGCTCGCTGCGGTCAGTGGAACATCCTCGGGGGCCTCGGAGCGGCAGAGCCACCCCCGGGCCACAGGGTGCTCCCCGGGCCCAGGCAGGGCGTCCTTGGCGTGCGAGGCAGGTGAGGCAGGGCCTGCTCAGAGCACGCGGGGGATGATGGTGAAGGGCACGGCCGGGCTGCTGGCCTCCAGCTCCAGGGCCGTCAGGAAGCACTCGGTGGCCGCAGCGTCGTTGCCCTGAGCTTGGAGGACCTCGCCCAGCCCGTTCCACACCTCGTGGGCCGTCGAGTTCACCTGCACCGCGTCCCGGAGGATCTTCTCTGCCAGGCTGTAGCGGCCCAGCTGGTGAAGGATCAGCGCCTGCCGGAGGCAGAGAGACAGACAGACAGTCAGACAGGTCAGAGAGCTCTGGGCACCTATTTGTTCCTTCCGTTTTCAGTAGTTCACGGAGGTGGGAATGTCACTCCAGTCGGCTGTGAACACAGTAACTTCTCAAGAGATCCCTGTCTCAGGGCACTAGTCAAAGCAGTGGCCTGGACCCCATGGAGCTGCTGGAGTTTAGCCATCTTTGACCCAAGAGGCAGCTTCCTGTGGTTCATCTGCAAACTACAACCAGGAAGGCACCAACTGCAAAGGCACTCTCTGTGCCGCCTCAGGGTGCCTGCGGGCCACGTCCCAGCACCCACCAGCCTGATGGAAGGCTATCGTCACCTTTTGGGCTTTGACCTAAAGAAATGTCACTGGGGCCACTGCTGTCATGGTGGTGATGACACACTTCTTAAAGCTGCTCACGGCCTCTAGCCCAGCCCTTGGGCTCCACGTCCCCAGCTTGCCCCATCTGGGCCCTGCACAGCTGTGGCCCTGCACAGTTCCAGTCAGGGTGTGTCTGTATGGGCCCCAGAGCATCTGGCCACACCGTCCCCCCTCGGCCTGTCCAGAGCAGTGCCTTCGTACACTTTCCACCCCAGGGCTCCGCTGTGGGGAGGGAGCTGGGGTCAGAGCAGCCTTTTCGCTGTTAGACCTCTCATGGCCACCAACACTGCCCGGAACGCGCTCTGTCTTCTTTTGGATCAGTGGATTTCACGTCTTTGCAATAGTTCTGGGAAAATTTGGCAAAATGAAATCTCACTGAGAAAACACAGAGTTTTATGTATAAACAGTCACAACTGAACTGTTCCAGGTGAAGGGCAAAGGGCAGGGAGCCCAGTGTCCCCCAGGGCTCCCACAGTGGCCCTTGATGGCCATTTGAAGATTCTCCCTTTGGGCCAAATTTCTCCAAAGTGGCCATTACTGGGTGAAAGGTCAGACTCTTTCTAGGGTTCTCCAAATACGCGTGGCTCTGTGGGAAGGCTCGCCTCCCGGCCAGACTCTGTGGTGGCCTGCTCCTTTCAGTGTGGCTCTTCTTTGTACTAACGTCACCAATGCAACACCTGCTCCTGTGGAAATCTACGTTTCTTTAACAACCATCGAGGTTTGCTTTCCCAGGCCTCCTATAAGAGTCTTCTATAAGACTCACCTTCACTCACTACCGTAACTTTCTAGCCTTTGATGTCCCGCAGCCCCGGGGATGGAACCCAGGGCCTCATGCCTGCCAGGCAAGCACTGTACTACTGAGTTTTATTCCCGGTCCTTTTAAAACTTGGCATCCTGTGGCCTCAGCTTCCCGAGGAGCTGAGATTCAGGAGGGTATCATTACATGCCTTTCCTTTGATTTTGCGCTTTCTAGAATCCAAGGTATTTTAAATTAAATATTGATGATTGATGACTTTTTAGGGTTACTTCAAAGCTTAGTAAGTTCTCCTTTGAAAGATCTGACACGTGATTAGACTTTTTTTTTAAACATTTATTTTTTAGTTGTAGTTGGACATAATACCTTTATTTTATTTTTATGTGGTGCTGAGGTTCGAACCCAGTGCCTCACACATGCTAGGTGAGTGCTGTACTGCTGAGCCACAACCCAGCCTTGATTCTGAAATGCTCTGGCAGAAGAGAAGCATTTCTGCCCCTGGACTGAGCTCCACCAGGCCCTTCTGCCCACCCGTCACACTGGCAGTATTGCCTCTGCCACCCAGTGAGTTGAGACAGGAAATGGGGCCATGCTCCCGTCACTCTGAACCATGTTCTCGGAGGATCTGAGACAATCCTCTTGCCTTTGCTGTTATTTATGTATTTCCTGACTGCCTTGTCCTGTACCATTCCAGGTGAATGCTGAAACCCCTTTGTTCCTTCCTTTGGGATCACACTGGTCTTGCCTGGCATTTGGGTGTGTGGACACCCGACACCTTCCAGGCTAGTCTTTCCACCAGGAATGTGACATGGCCCTTCTCTTAGGTGGGGGGTGCAAGTCCCCACAAGGCCAGTCCAGACTGCTCTCCAGCCTGGGCTTCACCATCGCTCTCTTGGAAGCAGGATGGCCGGTACACTGACATGAACAAGGTGCCTGCCAGCCCCAGGCTACGCCCGAGCCACAGGCTGCGTGGCACGTGTGCAGGGGGCAGGCGGGCTCGCCCTGGAAACACATGTCTGAGACAAGCTCTGTGCGGTAGTAGGGCACCTCCAGTGGGCAGCATCCAGGCCCAGAGGGCTCCTTGGGCTGACTTCCCACCAGAGCCAAGAAAAGCCACCTGACTTCCAAGAGTCACCCAGACCTAAGACCAACTGCGAGCTGGTGGCCAGTGGGAGGCCAGCCAAGGGGACACACATCCCCAGGGCAGTGTGAGCCCGAGGGTGGTCCTCTACTCAGAGGAGGAGGAGTGGGAGCCACAGGTCTAAGAAGAAGAGAGTTCAGAAAGCTGCTCGAGGGAAAGTGGAGGAGGAAGACGCAGAAGGAGAAGGAGGAGCAGGAGCCAGACCCTGCAGAGGACGCGTCCCAGTCTGCACAGGGCTTCCTCCAGCCCTCTCCATCCATCTTAGAGGACAAGGGAGCTGGCGCAAGAATAGGCAGATGCTCAGCTTGGGCTGGGCTTGGTAACAGGACGAGAACCCACACGGCCACAGTCTTGACAGCAGATGTTTCCCCAGTGTTGGTGACACATTGAGCACTATCCTAAGTGCATTTGATTCCCAGGGGACCCAAAGCCATTTCACATGGGCACGGCTAGGACCGGTGTGCAGCAGGAGGGCCCGGTGGTAGCCCCTGGCCTGGGCCCCCAGTGCCCCAACCCCTACTTTGCAGGTAGGCTCCTGCAGAACCTGCTTCTCCAAACTCCTAGGGCCTGCCTGGGTCCTCTGTGCGGAGTGGCAAATAATCCTGCCATTGTCCAAGATGGGGGGGTCTCCCACCCTGAGGGGCAGCCGGACATGACAGGAGATCACTGCCCAGGATGCAGTCAGCAAGACTCCTGCTCCTGCTGCTTCCTGCTAGGGGAGGGCCTCAGCCTCGCCTCACCTCGAACATTCCAGTGTAGCCCAAGGAGATAGGAGCAGGCGGGGACTCGTACAGTGGGGCTGAGCAGCGGAGTGAGGGTTGAGATAGGGGTTCCATGGGCTCTCCTGCCAGGAGGCCCCCTGTAAGCTTCTGGCAAGAGTGACGGGGACCTCGGCATGGTGTCAGACAGAGGTGTCCTTGCTCACTTGGCTGCACTCAGTGTGGCCAGCCCCTGCTGCCGTCTCCCTCTGTGGGAAACCCCTCGATGTCGGGAACCATGTGGGCACCTGACTTGGCTCCTCTCCTATTGCCTTAAGTGCAAGGAGGCAGCATTCAGAGGCCATGTTCTTGCCCAAGGTCCCTGGGCCAATGGACACAATTTGTAGGCTGCCAAGGCCACCAGACTGTGCTGCCCACCAGACCGTGCTGCCCTGGGGCCTTGTGAAGAGAGGCTAAGGTCTGTGCAGGCTCTCAGGCCACATCTGCGTCACTAGTCAGGTTTTCCTCGCTGAGACCAAAATACCTGAACAGAACAACTTAGAGCAGAAGAGCTTGAGCTCAGTGTCAGAGGTCGGGGCTGACTTCATTATTCTGGGCCCCGAGGAGGGGCCGAACATGGCAGAAAGGGGTGGGAGGAGAAGGGATGATCAGCTCCTGGCAACCAGGAAGCAGAGACAGAGGGGGAGGAGCCAGGGACGGAATGTATAATCCCCCAAGGCAGGCGTCCAGTGACCCACTTCCTCCAGCCAGGCCCCCCTGCCCACAGTTACCACCCAGTGATCCATTCAGTGATTAATCCACCCAATGGACCAACCCTCTCCTTAGGTCGCGGCTCTCATGGTCTGATCCTTTCATCTCCCGCACTAACACAGGGGCTTTTGGGGGACACGTCTATCCAAACCCTAGCAACACCCTGGTGCCCTCAGGCAATAACCCTGTTGCGTCCGGGCAACAGCCAAGGGCAGCAGAGCTCTCCCCTTTCATTTCTCTGACCACTAATGGTCCATTTGATTGCTTCCCACCACTGGGAAATGACTCCTCTGGAGGCACCGCTTTTCTCTGGCTTAGGCCTGCATCCTGATGTTCACTCCTGACCAGGAGGGCTCCTTGCCTCTCTCTGGTGGCTCAAAGGTTGGCTGGGATCTTAAGGTTTGGAGTGGCTGCAGGTGCCACAGGACTGGGGTGTCCTGTTAGGCAGAAAGTGGACCAGCCAGGTGTGGAGGCCCGAGGGTGCTGCTCTCGGCAGCTGTGACTGTCTCTACCCTGCTGGGGTGGGGCAGAGTCTAGCAGCCCCTGACTGTGGGTGCTCCAGGGTACAGGGCAGGGGCATGTTTACCCACCCCCCAAATTCCCACTGAGAACCAGCCCAGTGGACTCATTTGACCATCAGCCTTGGCACTGGGCCACTGAACCTCTGCGGCTCTTCAGCCTCCAGAGACCTGACTGTGTTCCTCAGGGAGGAGCAGGCTGCCATTCCTGATGCCTGGAGGTTTTCCAAGCAATCTGTTTAGCAGGATTAATCCCCAAAGCTGGAGCCGCTCAGGGAGGCAGCACAGACCTGCTGGGGCAGCTTGGCACAGGAACGAAAAACAGGCCTCTCCCCAGTGCCGCAGGAGCAGCGTGGAGATCAGCCACTCCGCGGGATCAAGCAGGGCAGATGCCAGCTGGGGTCTGAGCTGTTGCTCGGGGCCAGTGTTGTAAGAAAATTGGCCAGAGGAGGACTGGGACCTAGATGTGTCAGAAGTGACATGCCACCCACATCCCCATGCAGCCAGCAGGCCTTCCTGCCCTGCCCTAGCCCGACTCCTCCACTGGAGCACGGATATCCTTGCTGAACTCACCCGCCCCGGCTCCTCTCGTCTCCAGAGACCAGGGGCCTCCCTCTGAGGCTGCACTGAACTCCTCTCTTTGCCAGTGCGACCCCACCTCCTCCGGGTTCTGCCAGGCTGGCTGCCAGTGACACACTGCTGAGTCCCTTGAGCTCTGTGCACTG